TTGTTTAATATTAAAAAAGAGGACACAATGAACATTGTAAAGGATTTACACCTAACTAGTTGTCAAAGTAACAGTTACACATGTAGCTGCAGGCGTGTACAAATATATCTGAATGGATTTTAGTGAATTTTCTGTTTCATGTTTTAATTTAAGACGTCCGGCATGGACACCGTGGACACTGCGTTGCCGTAGTGACTGTTGTTTACTGGGGAGTGTCAGCAGGCGGCCATATTTGTTTGTTTTGTTTTGTGCTTGATACCACCGTCAAGACTACTTCCCACCCTAAAGGACAGTGCCGACACACGATTAGTCCGGCCTATTTTAGTACGGAGGGCGGATGGTTGTGACTGGAAACCTTTGTAACTGAAAGACAATGTGAATTCTGGATGTAAAAGAATTTGTTGTCTGCTATAAACGGAGCTGTCAACTGATCACCACCTGGTGGTGAGTTGGATCAGATGGCAAGGGAACATGCCGCGTAGACCTGGCAGACCCAAACGCATAGTGAGGGTCTGCTGGGAACGCCTGGCAGAAGAACCTGTCAAGACGGTCTTCAACTCCCACCTCCGGCAGAGCTTTGACCACGTCCCGAGAGCAGTGGGGGACATTGAGTCCGAGTGGGCCTTGTTCCACTCTGCGATTGTCGAGGCGGCTGTTGCTAGCTGTGGTCGTAAGGTGGCCGGTGCCAGTCGTGGTGGCAACCCCCGTACCCGCTGGTGGACACCAGAGGTTCGGGGAGCCGTCAGGCTGAAGAAGGAGGCCTACAGGGCGTGGCTGGTCTGTGGGTCTCCGGAGGCAGCAGACAGGTACCGGATAGCCAAGCGGGGTGCAGCAGTGGCAGTTGCCGAGGCAAAATCTCGGGCGTGGGAGGAGTTTGGTGAGGCCATGGAGAAAGACTATCGATTGGCTCCAAAGAGGTTCTGGCAAACTGTCCGGCGCCTCAGGAGAGGAAGGCAGCAACTCGCTCACACTGTTTACAGTGGGGATGGGGAGCTGCTGACGTCAACTGAGGCTATAGTCGGACGGTGGAAGGAATACTTTGAGGAGCTCCTCAATCCCACCAATGCGCATTCCGAGGAGGAACCAGAGCTGGGAGGCCTGGGGATGGACTGTCCGATCTCGGGGGCAGAAGTTGCTGAGGTAGTCAAACAACTACACAGCGGCGGAGCCCCGGGGGCGGATGAGGTTCGTCCTGGGTATCTCAAGGCTATGGATGTTGACACGTCTCTACAACATTGCGTGGTCATCGGGGGCAGTTCCTAGGGAGTGGCAGACCGGGGTGGTGGTCCCCATCTTTAAGAAGGGTGACCTGAGGGTGTGTTCCAACTATAGGGGGATCACACTCCTCAGCCTCCCTGGAAAGGTCTACTCCAAGGTACTGGAGAGGAGGGTCCGATCGATAGTTGAATCTCAGATAGAGGAGGAGCAATGTGGTTTTCGTCCTGGCCGTGGAACTGTGGACCAGCTCTATACCCTTGCAAGGGTGATGGAGGGGGCATGGGAGTTTGCCCAACCAATCCACATGTGCTTTGTGGATTTGGAGAAGGCTTATGACCGTGTCCCCAGGGGCACCCTGTGGGGGACGCTCCAGGAGTATGGGGTGGGTGGCTTTCTGTTAAGGGCCATTCAGTCCCTTTACCAGAGGAGCGTGAGTTTGGTCCGCATAGCCGGTAGTAAGTCGGACTTGTTCCCAGTGAGGGTTGGACTCCGCCAGGGCTGCCCTTTGTCACCGGTTCTGTTCATCACTTTTATGGACAGAATTTCTAGACGCAGCCGTGGTGTGGAGTGTGTCGAGTTTGGTGGCAGGAGAATCTCGTCTCTGCTTTTTGCGGATGATGTGGTCCTCCTAGCTTCATCCAGCTCTGACCTTCAGCTCTTGCTGGGTAGGTTCGCGGCCGAATGTGAAGCGGCTGGGATGAGGATCAGCACCTCCAAATCTGAGACCATGGTTCTCGACCGGAAAAGGGTGGCTTGCCACCTCCGGGTCGGGGGAGAGGTCCTACCTCAAGTGGAGGAGTTTAAGTATCTCGGGGTCTTGTTCACGAGTGAGGGTAGGAGGGATCGGGAGATCGACAGGCGGATTGGTTCGGCGTCTGCAGTGATGCGGACGCTGAGCCGATCTGTCGTGGGGAAGAGGGAGCTGAGCCAGAAAGCCAGGCTCTCGATTTACCGGTCGATCTACGTCCCAATCCTCACCTATGGTCATGAGCTTTGGGTAATGACCGAAAGAACGAGATCACGGATACAAGTGGCCGAAATGAGTTTCCTCCGTAGGGTGGCCGGGCGCAGCCTTAGAGATAGGGTGAGGAGCTCGGACATTCGGGAGGGACTCGGAGTAGAACCGCTGCTCCTCCGGATCGAAAGGAGCCAGTTGAGGTGGTTTGGGCATCTGGTCAGGATGCCTCCTGGACCTCTCCCCGGGGAGGTGTTTCGGGCATGTCCTGCCGGCAGAAGGCCCCCGGGTCGACCCAGGACACGTTGGAGAGGTTACATCTCCAATCTGGTCCGGGAACGCCTTGGGGTCCTGCCGGAGGAGCTGGTGGACAAGGCCGGGGAGAGGACGGCCTGGAGCTCCCTAATTGGGATGCTGCCCCCGCGACCCGGACCCGGATAAGCGGAGGAAGACGACGACGACGCTATAAACTAGAGAGTTGATTATTAATAAAACAACATCAGACACCATCTGCTGTGTCTACAAACCCTGATGGAGACCCCCGGTCAGATCCAGAATGTCAGGAAGTCGAGTGGACCTCAAGGCACCGAAGTTCGTACAATAACCGCATTGCGACCAGTCCAGTCTAGAGAAGTCTCCAGCTCACACCAGACAGGAAGGTTCATTGCGTCTAACACGGATGTTCTCGTAAGGAGCCGTATGGCTGTGTCAGCTGGCAGTGTGCCAACAGGTTTGACGGTGTGTCAAAGAGAGAGGTGTTTCAAGGAGGCTTGTTCACTATCTATCACCTAGATGGTGGTATTACGTCTATAGGTGACCGGTCACTATGCCTGTCAATATATAGGTCAAAATTTACCCTTTCTGGACGTTACACACATCACAATTTTTGCTTTTCCCATTTTTATGATATCTTTTAGTCTTTTTAAAACTTTTTATTTCTTTGATTTTTATTTTTTTTGTTTTCCTATATATTTGTTTATTTACACTGTTATTGTGCATCACAGGTTTTCCTAATACCGTGCAGAACTAATAATAAGACAATTCATATCTGGAATCTGTGTAGACGGTCTTTTGGTTTCACAGAGTAATCGTTTGCTGCCCCTGTGTTGAAGAACCAAATGTTTACCCCCTTGGTGGTACATTTACCTCGTTTGAACAACTTGTGGACCAATTTCATATCCATAAATGCCTTTAGGGGTTTACAACTGAGACACGCTGAATGTTGTCTCCTGTGCCATCTCAGACTCTTCTCGATGAGATCTTGGACTGCCGGACTGACAGTAAGAAAGCTCTGAGTAAATTTTACACCTGCATGGCTCAGCTAACACAGTCACACCAGTTTGGGTGTCTTAAAACAGAAATAGGAGCTGGACCTGGTGTTGGACTTGCCAGACACAGGGTTCTATGGAACGTTGATAAATCCTTGATCTGTGTGGGTTACAGAGTTATTCAGTTCAAAGTAGTGCACCAACGGTCCAAAGACCGGCTCTCTACAACCAAGCCCACCTGGTGAACCTGCTACACTTCTCCATATATTCTGCACTTGCCCAAAACTACAGAGTTACTGGTGGTCGATTTTTGATGCTCTATCCAAGATTTGCAGGATTACTGTTACCCCAGATCGTTCGAGAACTGTGGAGGCTTCTTTGGAAACACCAGTTGGGCATGATTGCCTTTTGCTGCTTGTTGGCTAATTCACCAACCTAGGATCACTGGGTCAATGAGGGTAGGACACAAATTCATTTAGACACGATTCAGCACAGGTGGAAGGGCTCAACGGGAAAATGGTATGTTGTCTGATCATCCTTTAGGTTTATTTTGATGGTGGTTAATTTGCTGTGACTGTTTCTTTTAGTAATTTTCTAGATTGATCCTTGTGCTTTAATTTGGTGTTATTTAGAAACCTCTTTTTGTTTGTTTTTGAGTCTTATCCAGTGTAGCAATGGTGGAGATGGCGTTTGCTGCAAATGTTACATGAAAAATGTAAAATCTTTAATAAAAAATGTTTGTTAAGAAAAAGATGTTTCATTGTAAAACAATCTCACCCTGCTTTTATTTTGGTAGGCTACTTCCTTCTCAAGGCAGTTTCAATTTGGATGTAGCTTACTGTTTAGTTTCAACTTTTACATTCATATTTTACCCTTTAGATTAAATATTAGATGTATTAATCTCAACAATATTGTTATTAAAAGTGAAGGATGTTTCTGCTGCTTCACCTCAAAGGTAAATAAACTGGTCATCAGGTGGCGGAAGTGGCAGCAAAAGGTGTTTTCTGGTCGCATTTCCAGTCTCCATCTGTGTCTGAGTCATTCGTCAGGCGGGAGCGTCCTTCTCAGTTTCATACGTTTTAGTGGAAAGCACAAAACCAAAGATCTCAACTTCTTGTCTGCACTTGTAGGCAGAACAGCTTCTAAGGTGTTTATTAGTTCATTCATAAAAAACTCCCATCTGTCTTCATGGAGACGTCTTGAACAGTCTGCGAGGACACTGTCTCTTCTTCACCTGATTTACATCAGTTCTGTTTACTTACCGAGGTACTCTTCAAAGTCTAGGATTGTATTTTCATTTTGTAATCTTAGCAGCTCAGACCTACTGAACGGCGTTTATCTGGGTTGGTATGTTTAAAGAATGTGGTGTGCCTTTAAATCCAACTTGTGGTGAGATGTAATAAAGTGGCTGATGGGTCTGTTGGGGTTGGAGTGTGTGTGCGGAGTAAAAGCTCGATCATGACCATAAACAGATTATGATACTGCTGGTATCTGGGTAACTCCACTATCCTCCTCCTCTGAGCAGTAAAACTCGGGACCTTTGGAACAATCTGTGGTGCGAGGCGGGGCCCTAGGTCTGCAGGTGTGGTTCAAGCATATAACAGGACATGGACTTGAGAACAGACCGAGTGCCAACAGGGAGGGATGAGGCACCTGAGCTATACCGATAACAGAAAGGATCGTTCGTTGAGTCTGCAGCACATAAGAGGCAAAAAAACAAATAAGGGACCGACTTTTGGATTACTGCTGTGATGTCTAACTAACTCACTGGTTTTTGTGGATTTCAGGAAATTAACGAGAGGAACAAATTAAAAGCAGGAAGAAAAACGATGTCGGTGTTCGGGGGGATGGTAAGAACGTAAACTGATCAAAGGAAACTTTTACTGGTGGAGAGGGATTCCCATAAACTTCCATTTTCTGTAGGATGTGGGCTTGTTGGAGATTCCTGCTGAGCTGTCTGCCAGACTCCGCAGTCCATCAGGTGAGTTTCCTAAAGGCCTTGTTAAAGGCTGCTGTTATAACCTGAAGGCTGAGGGAGAGGGAAGCTGACTCACCCAAGAATACTTTCCTGTTGTAACCTTTTAAAGACGTAGAAATTCACAAGTAATTTAGTTTTTATTTACATGTAAGTTTGTTGTCATGTTAGCCTGGCAAGACATCCCATATGTGTAAGTACATATGTAGTCTGGCCATCGAAACAGCGCCCTCATCAGGGTAGATTCAGTGGTTGTCTTTCAAACAGTCTCTGCATGCAATTGGACAGCAAGAGGACCAATCAGAGCAACGACCAACTGATGTCCTCACCGCTGTGGGCGTCTATCAGTGGTGCAGTCCTTCATAAACATCCATGTTTCTAAATAAAGGGTTTAAGTACCTTTAACTGCTATTGACTCAAGGGTGTGGGAACGAGCTGAATATTGGGGGACACCGGTCCGGCACTGGGGGCAGACATATCTGCTGATGGCCCCCTGGCCATTTGGTTCCTACGCACACTGTTTGATGTGACTGGGCGGAGTGCCGGTTACAGGGCGCTTACATCATGGACTGCTGACAGTAATATCATTGAACAAAACTATTTATAAAACTAAAATGGCCTTCTTAGAGTTCTACAGCCCCCCAAGGCGCTTCACAACACAATCAGTCATTCACACATTCACATGCTGGTAGGGATGAGCTACGATGTAGCCACAGCTACCCTGGAGTACACTGGCATCACCGGTCCCTCTGACCACCACCAGCAGGTAAAGTGAGTAAGTGTCTTGCCCAAGGACACAACAGCAGAATTCTCTGGTCAGACCCAGGATCAAACCTGCAACCTTCTGATTACTGGACAACCTGCTCTACCTCCTGAGGTGCTGCGGTCCAACAATAACAGTAGTCACCAATATATTTCATTCTACAGGAAACATGCAGTGATAAAGAAAACAACCTGTTGAATGCCTTCAGGGATTTGAGCCATGGGATGTTTTTGTTCGTTTTTCAGCAAGGGCCGAGCCAAATAAATGGTTTAAAATATTAACAGGTAAAAAGCAAAATGATGTTTTCGTCAGGCCTCGACCGACACAAACGTACTTATTTCCTAGTAAGTCAAGTTTATCGTGATGGATGTGAGAATCCGCAACATGGTTAAGTCCAGGGCTGCCAACATCTATACATATATATATATATATATATATAGATAGATAGATAGATAGATAGATAGATAGATAGATAGATATGTTATGACCAGTGGTGGTAAAGGTAAAGGACGTCGCAACATAAGAGGCATGCTATAGATGTAATTAAAAGCAAAAGTATGGAGTGCCACTCCACCAGTAACTACGGTCGGTCAGTACTATACCCGACTGATAAAAACTGTTAAATCAGAAACTATAACCAAACCATGACACTCAAGAATATGGAGCAACGCACCACCAATTACCATTTATCAAAACAAAACGCATTTCAAACGTTTAAATTTTAACAAAACTAAAAGAGTCCATCTTAACTAAAGAGCAGCTTAAGGCGGTTACTTTAAGAGGAATAGACAAAGAGTGGTTAACCTCAACAGAAATCCTCAAAGAGTACTTTAAACCTGAATCAGATTTACTCTAGTTTGTATAAAAACAAACTCAACTCCTAAGAGCAATCAAAGTCAACAATTATCCACACAACTAAGTTAATCCTACTAGTCTTCTCAAAGCATACTCTGCAAGACCAAAACCGCTACTTCACAAGACCAAGATGGGCAGAGGAGCAAAACCGACAACAGCTCAGCTCTGCCCTGGTCTTCGGGCTGCCTCCTCTTTTATGCCCTCAGGCTGATTGCTTGGTTTAGAGCAGCTGGCGCGGCAGGAGGGAGGAAACTGGAGCTGCTCCTCAGAGATGTTTTCTGATGGTCAGCAGCTCAGCCTGGCATCCATAACAATATACAAGCACAGTGCCAGTGTGCATTATTCTGTAATCGTTTGACTTATTAGATTGAAGCTCTTTGGAGTGCGATTTTAAAATGTTGTTTTCTCATTCTTGTGGCTGAACCTTTAGAATCCGACTGAAGTTGGTTCCCCTTTTAAGTTCCTGATTCAGAAAGGGACCCTAATGTTTCCAACACCCTCAGGACCAAAGAACTGTGCACAGAGCCGATAAAAACAACTGAGTCAACAATAAAACCACAGAACCTAGAATACATAAAACAGCCAAAGAGTTCAAACAATTACAGTTTTTTCGATTGCTAAAACATTTCTTTCAAAACTGCACATACAAAATCCCGAACATAACACACAAATTCCTAAACCGTGGCTTCCCTTTGCAACAAAACCCTGTCACCACATATCGTAACATGTTCCCAAAACTGAACACGTGTTTTCATTTGGTAAACACAGCCACATTTTCACATGACACACACATACCATTCATTGCTTAAACACAAGTAGCCTTTGGGTGAACACTAGCAAGCATGGAAAGAACACTGAAGAGCAAAACTGAAAACACAATTGTCTAAATGGAACACAATGAATTACACACTGAACGTATGACAGTGCCCACTTCTCTCTGAGACAAACATTAGACATCACACACATTTTGAGACAAAACATTTTATTTTTACAGTTACAGTAACCCCCCCCCACCCACCCACACCCCCACCCCCAGAGGGCCTCATCAACATCACAGGCGATGTCCTCCTGGTCCAAACAGCTCTGGAAGTACCGCCTCGAGTGCCTCATGAAGCCCTGACAGGCCTCAAAGGCCCCATCTCTACAAGCCTCCTCCATGGCTTGAAGCAGTGGGACCTGGCTCTGTGGATTCCTTTCGTACACCTTCCACCTCCAGGCTGAGAAAAACTCCTCAGTGGGATTGAGGAAGGGGGAATAAGGTGGAAGGTTTAAAATGGAAAACCGTGGGTGGCCCTGAAACCACTCATACACCTGGGTAGCCTTGTGGAAACGTACTGTTATGCTGCAGTCCCTGATTGCAAACTGCTCGCCAGACCTGAAAGTTTAGAGATTTGAATATTTGTGTGTTGTTGATTGAAGCTTTGGAATTTATGTGAGAAGTGTGTGTAAACCTGAAAGTTGTGTGTTGTGTTTTGACAGCAAGGTAATGTGAAACTGACATCAGAGTGTAAAGGAGGACAATCAGAGTTCTGATATGATCAGGAAATCTTAAGTAGTGATAAACCGAGTCAAGCGATTGGGAACAGAAGTAGAGGTTGTGAAAATTGTGCCTCATTTTTGCTTTTTGAGTTTTAGCAATCGAAAAAAACTGTAACTAAGCAGACTAACATATGGTTACATCTAAATAAAACAGAGAGAGAGAGAGAGAGAGAGAGAGAGAGAGAGAGAGAGAGAGAGAGAGAGAGAGAGAGAGAGAGAGAGAGAGAGAGAGAGAGAGAGAGAGAGAGAGAGAGGAGAGAGAGAGGAGAGAGAGAGAGAGAGAGATGAGAGAGAGAGAGAGAGAGAGAGAGAGAGAGAGAGAGAGAGAGAGAGAGAGAGAGAGAGAGAGAGAGAGAGAGAGAGAGAGAGAGAGCGAGAGAGAGAGAGAGAGAGAGAGAGAGAGACTACGTAATAAATAATTAATGATCAATTCATTTGACTCCGATTACACATTTTTTAATTCTTAATCACATGACATTTAAAGGCAGGTGGTGCTTAGATACAAAAGTGACATTTCAAAGCACTTGTAATTCCTGAACACGTTATCTTTGTAGACCATACCTGCATGGCTCCAGCATTTTCTCCAGCTTTGCCAGCTCTCATATTCTGCATTTGTTGGGAGGGCAAGATCGTGCTTCTGCTGAGACAGCGTTGTGTGCAGAGCGTCTCGGTTTCGCCTCACCCGTTTGACCATCTCAAGGGTGGAATTCCACCGTGTTGGAACATCTTGCACAAGTTGTTCCTGTTCTAGTCCAAGGGAGGCTTGCTGGGCATTCAGCTCGTCCGAGTTTGCTGGACTGTGTTTGAAATGTCCGACCACTTTACGGCACTTGACCAGAACGCCATCAAAACCACTTTCCCGAAGTGACACTACTATAGCTCTCTGAATAACATGTGCAACGCAGGGCAAATGCTGGAATGGCAGTATCCTCCCTGCTGCCACCATATTACGAGCGCTGTCTGTTCCAATAGTGCTGGTTTTGGCAGCTATCCCCCACTGATTAGCAATGTCAAGAAACTGCCCGGCACATGCGTCTGCTCCTCTGTTTTCATCACACCTAACGGTCAAACAAAGATCAGAATAAGTTCACAAGCAGTAAACAACTAGCAATCATTAAGAAGCAAACATAATGTGGTGGTAATTCATGTGTTGTGCTAATTAATAAGTAGGCTAATTAAATTAAATTAAATTATACAACAGTTAGTTCTAACCAAGTAATTTGATTGGACAAGAGACATTCCTTGAGTGCTGATATTGGAGCACAACAGCACTGGGACATTTTACAGACAACATCAGGCATTCTAATGTTATGTTGTGTTATTTTTGTGTTGCCTAGCAACAGCTTTCTAGTTGGAACCATTTGTGTTGGCGGAGCTAAATAAATGATTGAATAAACTAACAAATTATAATCTTATGTCGCCTTATCATTGTTAAATAAGAAAATTAGCTCTTAGAACTGTCGTATAAAAACAATATCACATGAGAGGGAGTGCTGTTGTGCCAAATATCAGCACTGGTGTGATTATTTATGTATCAATGATATGAATCACACAAATGCCATATATCAACACAACTGCACTCCCTCTCGCGTGATATTGGTTAATTGTGAAATTTAAAAGGACACAGCCTACCTAAAGCAAAGGAGGTGAAGTTCCCAGCTGGCATGGATGAGGTGTGCAGTAACACCGAGGTAGTTATCATTACTGACAGAGGTCCAGTGGTCCCCAGTCAGTGCTACACAAGTTGCCTCCACCAACTTCTCATCTTTCGCGGCTTTCTCTGTTGCATGCTGGTCATGTATTCTCCTCACGATTGTTCGCCTCGCAGGTAGTTTGTAGGATGAGTCACCCGTGGCCGCCTGGAGAACAAGCTTGCGCCCATCATCTTCGACCACGCTGATGGGTCGGCAGCTCGTGGCAATCCACTGAGCAAGGAGATTAGTGAGCTTACTTGATAGAGCTGCACTGATGGGCTTGCCTCAGTTGCACTCAAACATAGTAGTTTGACGAAAACTCTTCCCCTGCGCAACACGTGGTCCAGCATCTTCCAAATTAGCTAAGGGATGCTTAGCGTGTAGGTGGTACTTGAGACTGGAAGAACTTCTACAGTAAACAAATTCTGCATTGCACAAGGTGCAAACAACTTTAGTCTCGTCAAGGTTTCCAATGGGAAGCTTCTTAAAAATAAATTTTCCCTGGAGCAAACCCAGCAGCTTCATAGGTGCATCCATGTCGGCGCGTCACGTTTGAAGATAAAGATGTCGATGTATGTCGATGATCCGCGCCGAGTATACATCCGCGCAATGTGAAAGTCATCAAGCTTAGTATAGACGACCCAGATCCCAACCCAACTTTGAGAATATATTAACGGCGTCATTTTTTTTATCGCGCGATAAGAGTCTGGCTTTGCCGCAGCACGTTAACGCCGATAACGGCCCACCCCTAATTTACATACATAAAGTGGATTGCCAGGCATGTTGCTTTGACACCCAAGTTTCTCAAATGAGGGACAACAAAGAAATTTTCTATTTCATTCTGTTCTGAAAACCTTTAATTGTGCATAGTCACCGGTGTAAAACCAGCTTGAATAAAACCTAAAGTAATAATAATGACAATTGATTGGTTAATAATTAACAATAATGTATTATTATTACTTTTAATATCATTATCTAATTTCAAATAGATTCACAATACAACGTACTTTGTTTTGACAGCAGGAAATGGTGATCGTAACACTTTACAGGATTTGTTAAAGGAGCTTGAAGTCTGATTGTGTTTTTCTTGATCCAGGAAGGCAGCATGGGTCAGAGGTCACAGAGGTTGCTCCTCCTCAGGTGAAGGCGCAGCATCAGCTAACGCTGCCTACGGATATCGACAGATATCCATTTTCTCGCTATGCCAAGTCTGTATTAAAGGTGAGTTGAGCTCAACTGGTTTCTGTGGCTTTTGGCTCTAAGTCAGTTAATCTGTATTCACTTATGGTTTCATGTGAATTATTGAGTTTAGATTACAACCAGTGATCTTAAAGTTAGATCTTCAGAGATGTTTTCAACTCCGTTTCTTTCTAAAGCACCATATCACAACAAGCGTTGTCTCAAAGCACTTCACAAAGTCAGCATTCCAGTTGAACCTACTGTACTTATTAGTGCATGGAGTTCCTTTCACTATGCCAATTAGTTAGTGAGGCTATGTCATGCGAAGTCCACCTATTGGAGCTTTTTACCATGTGATAAAAAATACCACCAACCGCACTTTTGGCTAAATTCATCCATTTTCCTGTCTCAGCTACAAGTTTTCAGATTCTACTAAATTAAACTAAACATAAACTAAATGCATCATCAGGCCTTTCTCCTCCCTAAAAGCTAGTCTCGCATCTGAAACCTGCCACCCCTAGAAGTAGGCAACTACTGCCCACTTACTCCGAGTTGCGAGTATTGAGCATTTGATTTTGTGCTGTAGTTAAGAAGGTTTTAGTCTGTGATCATCCTTTCATAGAAGACTGCTTTCCAAACCGCCACCAGTAACAGAGTGGATAGTCTGGCAAATTAATTCTGCATTGGGGAAAAAACATCACTGTAAATTAATGCGTTCAAAGATGCACATAATGGTCAGCACAGGACATGTCTTAGGGCAGTGTTTCCCAACCCTGCCGGTTTTCCATGTTTCTGCTTCAGCACACCTGATTCACATTCCCTCCTCAGGACAACATCGAGTGCTGCTGATGCCTGTTAATCATTCATTCACTTAAGTCAGGTGTGTGGCAGCAGGGAAACACTGGTGTTTAAAAGGGCAACATGGAAAACATGCAGGACAGTGTGCCTTGAGGACCTGGGTTGGGAAGCACTGTCTTAGGTTACTAAACTTTTGTAAAAGGTTTGGAGGGTTAGTGGATAGAGCAGCCGCCTTGCATGCTGTGTTGCTATGACCAGTTTGATTCCCAGTCTCAACAGTAATTTATTTTCTTCTTTTTAGTTACATTTGCCAGTATTCAGTTTTCAACCAATACATTTATTCATCCATCCATTTTTGGCTGCTTATCCAGGGTCTGGTCATGGGGCAGCAACCTAAGCAGGGAGGCCCAAACTTTGCTCTCCCAAGCCACTCAGGCCAGCTCCTCCAGCAACATGTTCTCACACCTGAAGCGTAGAAAAATGATGCTGGGTGACCAAACGTTTGTTTGTCGGAAGGCAACGCGCTGTGGCATAGCATCAGTTTCTGGGTTAGAGCCCTCCTCTCCAGAAGCCCTGAATAGACTTTACTAGGGAGGCTCAGGAGTGTGATCCCCTGTAGCTGGAACACACCCTGCAATCCCACTTTTAAATAGTGGGACCACCACCCCAGTGGTAGAAAGTCCAACCTCTCTCAAGGAAACTTGCTCTAGAGCCGAAGCCATGAATGGAGTCCAGGATTTTCAGCCCATCCATCCATCCATCCATCCATCCATCCATCCATCCATCCATCCATCCATCCATCCATCCTTCCATCCGTTTTTGGCAGCTTATCTGGGGACAGGTTGCGGGGGCAGTAGCCTAAGCAGGGAGGCCCAGACTTCCCTCTCCCCATCCACTTGGACCAGCTCCCCCGGGAGAATGCTATGGTGTTCCCTGGCCAGCCGAGAGGCTTTCGAGCATGTCCAGGGTCTCCCTTTAGGCCTCCTCCCAGTTGGACATGCCCGGAAAACCTCAAAAGGGAGGCCTCCAGGAGGCATCCTAACTAGATGCCCAAGCAACCTTAACTTGCTCTGCTCGATGTGGAGGAGCAGCGGGTCTACTTTGAGCCCCTCCTGGACGCCCGAGCTTCTCACCCTACCCCTAAGAAAGAGCCCAGCCAACAAGTGGATAAAACTCATTTCAGCTGCTTGTGTTCGTGATCTTGTTCTTTCGGTCACTACCCAAAGCTCATGACCATAGGTGAGGGTTGGAATGTATCTACTGGTAAACCGAGAGCTTTGCCTTCTAGCTCAGCTCTCTCTTCACCATGACAGATCGGTACAACGCCTGTATCACTGCAGACGCAGCACCAATCCGCCTGTTGATCTCATACTCTATCTTTCCTTCACTTGTAAACAAGACCCCAAGATACTTAAACTCCTCCACTTGGGGCAGGACCTCGTCTCTGGCCTTGAGAAGACCATGGTCTCAGATTTAGAGGAGCTGATTCTTATCCGAATTGCTTCACACTCAGCTGCGGACCGCTTTAGTGAGAGCCGGAGATCATGTTCTGATGAAGCCAACAGGATCACATCATCTGCAAAAAGCAGAAACTCAATCCATAGACTACCAAAATGGATGCCCTCAACACCTTGGCTGCACCTAGAAATCCTGTTCATAAAAGTTCTGAAGAGAATTGGTGCCAAAGGGCAGCCTTGGTGGAGTCCAACTCTCACCGGAAACTAGTCAGACTTGCTGTCAGATCTGACACCGGTCACATAACAGCCTGTATCAGAGGGCCTAGTACCTGGTGTACTCCAGATGCACCCCCGAAAGGGCCTCCCGAGGGATCCGGTTAGGGTTGGGTTAGTTGGAGAGGGCGTAGGCAGAGCATCAGGGCACCAGTCTCTTCCTCAAGAATGACTTAGGGGGGTTCATCCTACTCAAGACCACTGCAAATGTTTTGATTAAATGAGTGAACCACATCTCTAAAAATTTCCTGTGTAAGGAAACCCAGCAGACTGCATCAAGTTTTCTTATTTTTAAACACAAACACATATCAGGTTCGCAAGAAAGGGATCAAACTTTATCATCAACTGGTTCTAAAGCCTTTAAAGTATGAATTTGTTTTAGCAAATAGAATTAAAAACTATATACTTTTTAATGTAATCAGAGAATTAGAAGTATAAATCCTTCATAAAGTCAAAAACATCCTCCAGATGACAATGGTGGATTGCTTTTGCTAACTTTGTCTCCTTTCAGGATAACTGGTGCCAGCCTCAGGGATACCCTCTGCAGAGACCCCTAACAGCTCTGGATGCAGAAGAAGCAAGGACAGCCCTGGAAATCAACAAACTGGTATAGTCATACATTTTGTCCACATGCTGACTTATTCAGTGTCTCATATTATGACCTCAATAATTAGGGTTAGAGGGCTCCATTGATTTTGTACATCTCAGCTAAAACAGTTTGGACTCAAGAATCATAAAATGCTGGGAGAAATCTGGCACAGCACTCTGGGATGATCATCATCAGAAGACATTGAAACAGATGAAGGAATTTCATTGATTTATTTAAAAGCACCTTCCGCTACCGATGCGGACGCCCAAAGTGTTGAACATGACACAAATAAAACATTAAACTTCAATTCAATTCAATTCAAGTTTATTTATAAAGCGCCAAATCACGACAAGAGTCGTCTCAAGGCACTTCACATAATAAACATTCCAATTCACAGTTCATTAAGCCAATCAGAAATAATTTTTCCTATATAAGGAACCAAGCAAATTGCATCAAGTCACTGACTAGTGTCAGTGACTATACAGCAATCCTCATACTAAGCAAGCATGCAGCGACAGTGGAGAGGAAAACTCCCTTTTAACAGGAAGAAACCTCCAGAGAATCCTGGCTCAGTATAAGCAGCCATCCTCCATGACTCACTGGGGATGGAGAAGACAGAGCAGACACACACACACACACACACACACACACACACACACACACACACACACACACACACACACACACACACACACACACACACACACACACACACACACACACACACACACACACACACACACACACACACACACACACACACGGACAAGTAATGTGTCTATTGTAATATTGTGATGTCTTAGTAAATATTCTATTTGGTGAAAGATAAACTTTATTGTATTTATCCTAGTGGATCTATAATTAAACGGGTAAACTAGTAGTAGCACATCAAAAGTCAAGGAAACGAAAAAGTTATTATCAGGAGAGGGAGAATGTTTAAGTGGTTAGCAGCAGTGTGCTAGACGATGGCCCCCTCCATGAGGCCACCACAGCTCAGCAGAACGTCATTGTAGCTTCTTCTGGGGAGAAAAACACTTACAGAGAAAATAAAGTTAACAGCTGAAATAGCAGGAAATAATACAGTTAAAGAGCAGATTATAGAAGAAAGCAGTAGAGTGTGAAAAGTGGTCAGTGTGTCCTCCAGCAGTCTAAGCCTATAGCAGCATAACTACAGAGATAACTCTGGATAATCTATCCTATTTAGATGGAGGCATGTTGGAGGCAGGGCAAGGGAGAGCCGTCTTTACCGACTGTACACTCCACCTCCCTCTACTCCCCCACTTGTCCAGATTTAGGCTAACATCAGATTTTAACTATAGGCCCTATCAAATAAAAATGTTTTAAGCCTATTCTTAAAAGTAGATAAGGTGTCTGCCTCACGGACTAAAGCTGGGAGCTGGTTCCACAGGAGAGGAGCCTGATAACTAAAAGATCTGCCTCCTATCCTAAGTTTAGATATTCTTGGAACCACCAGTAGACCTGCAGTCTGAGAGCGAAGTGCTCGGTTAGGAACGTATGAAACAATCAGGTCACTGATGTATGATGGACCTTGATTATTAAGAGCTTTATATGTGAGAAGAAGGATCTTGAAACCTATTCTGAATTGAACAGGTAGCCAATGTAGGGAAGCTAAGACAGGAGAGATATGATCTCTCTTTTAAATTTTCATCAGAACTCTAGCTGCAGCATTTTGGACAAGCTGAAGACTTTTAACTACATTCTGTGGACTTCCTGAGAGTAATGAATTACAGTAATCCAGTCTTGATGTAATAAATGCATGAACTAGTTTTTCAGCATCACTCCTGGAAAGGATGCTTCTAATCTTAGCAATATTCCGAAGGTGGAAAAAGGAAAACCTACAAACTTGTGAAACCTGGGATTTGAATGACATGTCCTGGTCAAAGATAACACCAAGGTTCCTTGCTTTGTTCTCGGAGATTAATGTAATGCCATTAAGGTCAGGCGATTGGCTAAGCAATTTCCTTTTCTGGATTTCTGGTCCAAAGATGAGAACTTCCGTCTTGTCTTGATTTAAAAGCAAGAAGTTAAGAGCCATCCAATTTTTTATGTCCTCAAGACAAGCCTGTAATCTACCCAACCAATTAGGTTCATCAGGGTTCATGGATAAATATAGCTGAGTATCGTCAGCATAACAGTGGAAGTTTATCCCATGCTGTCTAATGATTTTACCAATTGGGAGCATATACATAGTAAAAAGAATTGGTCCAAGCACTGAACCCTGTGGTACTCCGCAAGTAACCCTGGAGTATGAAGACGATTTGTCATGTACATTTACAAAATGAAATCTGTCAGACAGGTAGGATTTAAACCAGCCTAACGCTGTTCCTTTGATCCCTACAACATGTTCAAGTCTTTCTAAAAGAACATTGTGATCAACTGTGTCAAAGGCAGCACTGAGATCTAACAAGACTAGAACAGACACAAGATTCTTATCTGAGGCCATGAGGATATCATTTGTAACTCTCACTAATGCAGTTTCAGTGCTGTGATACTCTCTAAAACCAGACTGAAATTCCTCAAACAGAGCATTAGTGTTTAAATGCTCACATACTTGGATGGCCACTATTTTCTCCAGGACTTTGGATAAAAATGGAAGGTTAGATATTGGTCTATAATTCATTGGGTCATCTGGATCCAGAGAAGGCTTCTTAAGTGAAGGTTTGATTACAGCAACCTTAAAATCTTGTGGTACATACCCATTTACTAAGGATAGATTGATTATATCTAGAATGGGGGCAGTAACCAAAGGAAATGCATCTTTAAATAATTTGGTTGGGATTGGATCCAAAATGCAAGTTGAAGGTTTAGATGAAGCTAATATTTTTGATAACTCTGAAAGCTCAACTGGATCAAAACGGTTCAAGCACAGATGAGGTTCTACAGTCACCTCTGGTGCTGCCTCACTTACTGAGGAAGAAGAAATCGCATTAGGGAGGATGCTAAAGATTTTGTTTCTAATAGAATTAATTTTACTTGTAAAAAATCCCATAAAGTCATTGCTGCTGAGGGCTAAGGGAATAGATGGCTCAGAGCTATGATTCTGTGTAAGTTTAGCAACTGTACTGAAAAGAAATTTAGGATTATGCTTATTCTCCTCAATTAATGCTGAAAAATAAGCAGTTCTAGTTTGTCGAAGCTTATTTTTATAAAGCACAAGACTATTTTTCCAGGACAAGTAGGCCTCCTCATGGTGCGTAGAGCGCCATGTTCTCTCCAATTTCCTAGAGTTTTGTTTTAAGGCTCGTAAATGAGAATTAAACCAGGGAGCCGACTTCCTGTCCCTAATTACCTTCTTTTTTAAAGGGGCTACATCATCTAATGCCACACGTAAAGAGGAATTAACATGATGAACTAAGGCATCAATTTGTGAGGGGCTAGAACTGAAAATATTGCCCTCTGCTACGTTCCTCTGAGATGCTGAGGACAGTAAAGATGGAACAGTTGATTTAAAAGATGCAATTGCATTGTCAGATAGAGACCGACTATAGTGAAATTTACTTTCATGTCTCGAGAACTCGGTTATAAAAAACTCAAAGGTTATCAGAAAGTGGTCCGAGAGGACTGGATTATGTGGAAAGATTGTTATTTCCTCACACTCACTGCCATAAGTCAGAACAAGGTCCAATGTATGATGGCAGGAGTGGGTGGAGCTATGTATTCTTTGAGTAAAACCAAATGAGTCTAAGATATTACTAAAGGCTACATTGAGGCTATCATTTTCGATGTCCACATGAATATTAAAATCCCCCACTACAATGACCTTATCAGTATTTAGCACCAAATCTGATAAAAAATCAGAGATCTGATCCAAAAACTCAAAGTAAGGGCCTGGTGGACGATATAAAACTACAAATAAGAGTGGTTTTACAGTTTTGCTATCTGGATTAGGAAAACTAAGAATAAGATGTTCAAACGAACTGTAACTATTAATCTGTAAGGGAATGATTAATAAGTCCGAATGAAAAATGGTTGCCACTCCTCCTCCTCGCCCTGTACTTCGAGCAATGTGATGATTTAAATAATTTGAAGGAGTCGACTCGTTTAAGCTAACATAGTCCTCTTGCTGCAGCCAGGATTCTGTGAAAGAGAGCAAAGAGATCTGATTATCACAAATCAAGTCATTAACTAACAAAGTCTTAGAAAAAATTGATCTAATGTTCAACAACCCACATTTGATTTTTCTAGTTTTCTGCTGAGTTGAATTTGTTCTAATATTTATGAGATTTCCATGATTTGCTTTATTAAGCCTGATATTTAATCTGTGTGGTTTTGGCCGTGGGCAGGACACTGTCTCTATGGGGTAGTGGGTGGGTAACAGTACAGAAGCTGCAGAGGGGTGGGTTAAACTACGACTCTGCTTCCTGGTCTGGATCCTGGGTTGTCATGGAGGACTAATAAAACTGGCCATGTTCCTAGAAAGAAGAGCTGCCCCATCCAAAGAGGGATGGATGCCGTCTCTCCGCATCAGATCAGGTTTTCCCCAAAAAGTTTTCCAATTATCAATGTAGCCCATGTTGTTTTCAGGACACCACCTAGACAGCCAGCGGTTGAAGGACAGCATGCGGCTAAACATGTCGTCACTGGTCCGATCAGGCAGGGGGCCAGAGAAAATTACGGAGTCCGACATTGTTTTGGCAAACTTGCACACCGAAGCAACATTAATTTTAGTGACCTCCGATTGGCGTAACCGGGTGTCGTTACCGCCAGCGTGAATAACAATCTTTCTGTATTTACGCTTATCCTTAGCCAGCAGTTTCAGATAAGATTTAATGTCGCCCGCTCTGGCCCCAGGTAAACATTTAACTATGGTTGCTGGAGTCTCTAATGCCACGTTTCTGACTATGGAGCTGCCAATGATCAGAGTCGGCTTGTCAGTGGGTGCGTCACTGAGCGGGGAAAATCTATTAGAAACGTGGACGGGTTGGTGGTGGCCCACGGACTGGGTTCTATACTTCCTGCGTACCGTCACCCAGCCGTCCTGAGGTCCCGGCTGCTCG